GGTTTGTCACATTTGTCCCTGAAGCTTAAAATAAGTGTCTTTTTTCCACTAAGATAAGGACAAAACACTGATGTTTTTAAGCTGAGAAAGACATAAATTGTAGACTCATAAATTTCAATTGCCATATTGAAAGTAACCTATTACTGTCTGCATCAGGTTTTAGGAATCTACGGTTTTCTTTAAGAGACTCTAAAACCACCCATTACAGAGATTTATTTTACAGGTGAAACAAAACAAATTGGGTTATGTAGAGGTTGGATGGAACCCAGTAAAAAGGGACTCACTGAGTCCCAAAATCTAATTTTATTCAGTAGTTTTACATTTCTCATTCACCCTTTGAAAGTTCCTCTTAATTCCCAATGAGAAGCAATGCTGAAAGGCATGAGCACCATCTTCCCTTCCTGTTCTCCATTGAAAGCAAACAGCAGGGTAGGAAAAGATGGTTTGTGCCCAGAGGACTCAAAACTTACAGACACGGGAATAGCAAAAACACAGTGTTTTCAGAATCCTATTTTATGTTTGTTCTGTCAAGTCTTGAGGGTAAGTGTGGGGAAGACAGTGGGATGCACACTGCATGCTGAGAACACTGATGGCCGGGGACTGATGGCCAGTTCCAAACCTCCCCAGGCTGAGCCTGCAGACAGCCCCTCTCTCACCCCAACCAGGGTAAGCAGTTGGAGCTTGATGTTGCAATAGCACCAGGAAGAAGCCAGGCCCAGCCCCTGCATGTCTGCCTGTGCCCAAGGTGCACATCTTGCCCAAGCCAACAGGGTAGGGGTGGGAGGTGGGTGAGACAAAAGCAAAAGTGGCTGCCAGTAACAATAGTACCTTATCTCGCAGCAGGTGCAACACTGGCAGGACTAGGTTTTCTTAGGGGAAGAGGATTCTCAAGTTTTTCTATCGAACATCCTAACAAATCTGCCAGCATGGTGGGGAAGCTTCCCAAGGGACCACATGGTGTAAACCCAAAGTGAAAGAAGAGGTCCCACCTCCCAATGAACTTTTCATTCAAGGTTGTCTCTAGGTCCTTCTTCCACACCCAGAAATGCCAAATCATTTGGATCACACTTCAAGGTATAGTAGACTGAGGGACTGGAATCAACCTAACACCTCTTTTGAAATTCTACCGACCAGCCATGAGACCTTGGGCAAGTCCCTTCCTCTCTGATTTTCCTTTTTCTCACCTGTAAAACTGAGATAATTCCTACCTTAAAAGAATGTGGGCATAACAAGGCTGTGTAACTGATATACAACACCTGATAAAAATGTTAGTCACCTTCCCTTCTTTCTTTGACCAAAATATGTTTTGTCAAAATGTGACCCAAAATCTAATTTTCTGAGCATCCATTTGGTTAAAACTCAATACAGTTATTTCAACAGTATCTAAACTATCTCAATTCACTACTACACTGAGTATCAATCAAGAACTCTGCTATTTAAGAATAATTCATATTTTATTTATAATGGAATATGACCACAAGGTTACATAGCAGTAAATTCACAGTAGTGATTTATTTTTTGTAACAAATCCATAAAACACAAACACTACCCAGAAATACTTACATCACTTTATAATCTCAGGGTCTTTACTGCAGGACTATTTAAATAAATATGTTAACATTTCTGTGCTTTCAGTAACCAATCATTGTTTTTTTTAATAAAGCCCAATTTTTAAGTTATATTAAGAAATATATAGTAAGGCTTCCAGGGTAGTGAAATTTGAGCAGTAATTCTCATAGAGCTTGACCTTTGTGTGTTTCTTGCTGTTTTCGAGTCCTCATGTTTTAAAGCAAGGAGTCTAATGGACATGCCTTCAGGACAGCAGGCTCTCAGAAGACACTGCTGTGCTAAGGCCATTTACTGGGGGCAGAGAGAGCAAATGCAAGTGAGGGAAAGGAATAAAGTAGGGGAGGGAGAAGTCACTGGGTTTAGAGTAACGTCCCAAAAACAGGAGCTATTAGGAAATCTCCCAAGCATTAGGACATAATAGAAACACATACACTCCCCTACGCTCAGCCATATACACAGTTACACGTATCTGCTGAGACACACACCTATCTGCTACAGATAACATGGATGTTAAGATGTTTAACGGAGAAATGCTCACATATATGGAATCAAATACCCACAAATAGGCATCCCCATTTAGGGAGCCTTACATAGCAGGGCCCAGGTTGAAGAATCAAGGACTCAAATTTGTCGGTTTCACTGAGTGGCTAGAACCCTCACTCAGCCGTGGGTTGGAAGGGCAGGGCAATCAATTTCTGTCAGTTCAGTACACCAGTGGCATCCCACGGAGCTCAGCTGTTGTGTAAATACATACACTGGGAAGTGTAGATGGGACAGAATGAGAACTCACCCCCATGGTAAGGAGCGGGGCGGGTGAGCACCTATCCCTACCCCGCATCAGCACAGCCAGCCACCCCATTAAATATGGAGCCCCCAATCCAGGCAATGAACTACAATAGGATAAATATCTCATCCTTTGCTGTGAACAATCTGTCCTCTATGCAGATTTCAAAAGGGACGGACAGAGAGGGGGAAAGGGAGATAATAGTTGGGAAAAAAATTGTCAGGCAAGCATTTTCTCTAGGGTTTACTTTATATACTTTGGTAAAAGTATTATGAATTCTGACCTAACACTTTGATAATGCAAAGGATGGATGAACTACATAGCCTTAAAATCCCTTCTAACTCTAACAATGTAGACTTTTTAAACATTCAGTTCATGGACTATTAAAAATTGTCATATCTTCAAAAGTCCACAATTAAGAACAGGTTATCTACTGGTAAAATATCAGGAAAAGAGAGCAATCTCACACATATACTCCTCATTAAGTTCTTTTCTTTAACATTTAATGTTTTAATTTTAATAATTTAGGTTGAAAATTACAGAAAATCTATAAACATCTAAGGCAAATGAAATCCTGTCTCCTATAATACGAATTTATATTCTACTAGCCTTAGGGCACAGTTTATCCCCTTTTAAAAAGACTAGCCTACTGGTTCCAAGAACTGAAACGAAAATGATTGTGTTCAATTGTGTGACGCAGCTTTCTGAAACCTTAAGTTTTTTTAGTGTCATTTACATTGTTCCCACTGCACCAGTAACTCAAGCTATTAAGAGGTTCAAAGTGCAAAGGCTTTACAAAGATCCTGCATTTTATTTTATTATTCTTTCGAAAAGGACGCAATACAAAGTCAATGTAAAAAAATCAATACTCAATTTAAAATAGAGACAATAATTTCAGAAAGTCTGACGTTCTTCTCTACTAAGACAGGGGTGGGGGAGAGAAAATAAATTCCTTAATTTAAGCCTTTCTTCACCCTGCTGGGAATGCACATGCCAAAGCAAATGAATCTAACCATGGCCCCTTCTGGACAGGTAATTTAAGATATGGTTGGAAGCACAGTATTTTAGAACACAGATGAATATTATTAACTATATGCACATATATTTATGGCACTTCCAACTGCACCATATTAATGCTGCAGCAGCCTCTAACACAACCAAAGTCTCACACACATTCACCACCCCTTACCCCATCTCCCCAAATATTTCCTGAGAAAGACATTCATAAGGAATTTTCAGTTTGAAGGGACCTAAAGGCAAAAACTAAGAAGAACAAAAGCACCATGGTTACATGGTATGTGTTTTTCATAAACAAAACCATGTAGTTAAATAGTACATCTTGGCTCCGTGCCACACCCCTAGGTTTCCCCTTCCTTTTCCAATATATCTTTTTGAGCTGAAGGCTGTTGATTCAATGGTGTTTAATTTTTCAGGTACAGGTGTATTACAAATATCCCAAGCCAATTCTGATTTAAAAATGACAATCAAGATACTGTACCACTCATGGAATATATAAAACTGTAAGGGTACACACACACGTACAAGGAGCATTTTGACAGTGTCATCCTTTACGAACACAAGGTAACCGATTACCCTAAATACTGGGAAAAGCAGGAGTAAATACTTTTAAAAGTTTTGTTGCTGATGCAGGAAGGCAAACGGAGGTATAGACACCCCCTGCAAGGTGTCTAGATGTGACTCCTTATGGGGCTCCCCTACAGCAGGGCCCCACCCCAGGACGGCTCCTCTGCCCACAACACTGGCAGCGCCTGTTCCCCAGGACCAGGGGAAAGCCCACTGAAACCAGCTGCATTTAAGAAACAGATCACAGGGGAACCATTCTCGACAAGATTGGCTCTCTACTCTCTTTCACAAACTCGCAGGGTGTCCACTTTCCTCATCCCCACTTTACTAACAAGTAAGTAATTTACATGTCAGGAGCTAAACAAGCCCCCTTCCTTGTAGTAAGTGGCAGAGGTGATGAGCTGCACAGTGACGGTGGTCAGAAAACACAGGGACTGGACAGCAGTAGTTGCCAGTGTGGTTGGCATTATTTGGTCTCCTTTGGCAGGGCAGTTTGCTAGGAGCTTTATGGGAACTTATCTCCCCAGGAAATTACATGGCTCCAAGCTGCACCCACCAGCCCCAGAGTCACAGTGCTGGTCCTCTCCTGGTTGGTGCGGAGAACTGGGCAGGGTGTGGCTCCTGCTGCAGCCTGAGAAGGGCATCTGGACTGGCTTGCTCTCCCCGTGTTCCACCTGGTGGGCACTCCACACGTCACTGTGGGAGCAATCCGTGGGACTGACCTGCAGCAGTGCAAAGAGCCTGAGGGCACATGTGGACAGCCAGGTCCCCGTGGGCTCTGAAAGGCTGAGCTCCCCTGGCCAGGGCTGCTAGCCAGGCGGCGGTGGGAGGGAGTAGAGACTGGGAGGGCAGTCACAGGGCTAGGAAGGGGCTACCTGCTTCAAGACAGTAGAGGGGCAGGATCAGAAATGGGGCAGGTAGGTTTTCTCTTTGAGGAAAAAAAAAATCAAATCACTTAAGAGCTGTAAACTGACAGTGCACATTTTTTGTTATGATCTTTCTCTGAAGAACCTAAGGCAACAAAGAACAAAGATGAAGGCAGGCATTTCCTGAATTGCCCACGACATTCGTGGGTGAGGTGGTACTGGACACTTACATACCCCAAATACAAATGTGGACGTGCAGTGACTGGTTTCCTGAAAGAGAATAAAGATGTGTACCCTAGAAATCTACAAGTGGGTCGACCAGAAGCAAGGGGGGACGTGGTCCCGGACGAAAGGCCGGAATTGATTGCTGTAAGGCGAGGCTCCCAAGAACGCACCAGCTCCTCTTTGGTTTACAGCTGTAACAGAAACTCCAGGGAACGGCTTCTTGAGAAGTCTCATTTACAAAAGTCAGATGTCATCAGTCACTTTTTTTCAGGGTGGACATCCCCTGCTTCCTTCCAAATAAAGTGCAGATGGTCAAAGGATACTGGTCTATCATCTGCCAGTCTCAGTCAGCAACGAAGAATAAAAAAAGGACACCCCTCTGGTATACATATATATATATATATCTATATATATTCTTCTTTTTTTAATATAAACCCACAAATATAGAACTTTTAAACTGACGTCTCAGACTGTAAGCGAAGGACAAATTTGTGAGATTTGGGGTCTATGAACTCTTCAGAGAGTAAGATGAATGGAATTTTCTTCACGTTGACCACAAGGCTGAAGTCCAAGCATTTAAGGACGAAAACAATCCCATCCCGTAATCCGTTAGTCACAGCCTCGTCACTAACAAGCCTCCACTGCATCGAGAGCCAGCGATCCTTGTCATACTGCAGGGTGGGGCCCGCGCTGAGGTAACGTTCTAGGAAGGCCTGAAAGCAGAGGAGAAGGGATATCAGGGAAGAAACACCCACTCTAAGGAAGTCCTGCCCGGCGGCTACCCTTTCCTACACCTACAAAAAATGTTTTCCAAATAGACCAAGGCCTTAGAGCAGAGCCCAGATTATCACAGTGAATTCCCACTGGACCTTCACAACTGAGTCATCATTGGGGAGAGAAGACTTCTTGGACTTCCTCCTTCTCCTTTGACAATTTGCAACCAGAGGGTGAGGGTGGTGGTAACCACGGAGGTGAGGGAATGTGGGGTGGCCGCCATCAGCGTTTGCCTGGAAGCCATCGCTGATGCCTCACCCCCTCCGTGGGTACAGGCCCCACTAGACATGCCCCTCTACCTCCTCCTCCCGAACTGAAAGTTCCTCAGGGCCCGGGCAAGTGCCAGGCCAGAAGAAGCACTCAGTGAATGTGATCTGAATAGACAGAGGAATAGACTTGCAGGAACGAAACTGCAGGCTCTCCCACTTCCTGGTTGTGACTTTGCACGAGTTATTTGCCCTCTCTGTAAGTGGAGACAGTAACACTACCTGACTCACAGGGCTGCTGTAGGGACGGAAGGGTTACCTCTCAGAAGGCGCTCACAGCAATGCCTGGATGTGAGTGAGTGGTGATTACTTTATGTTGAACCGAGCGCGCAATGGCAATGCGCTCCTTCCCTCCCGACTGAGCTACGCCCTCCCATGTGCCGTTCCTCCTGTTAAACGCTGTCATTCAGCACATTCCTCCTCGCCCTTCAAATCTTTTCAAACCACTTCCCCTGAAGCGCTCAGGCAGACTACCATGTCCCCCTCCAAGCCACTATGATCATCAACTCTCGTGTGACGTTTTACCTCCTGAACGATTATTGCTGACTTGCTCGTCCTCTCCTCACACTAGACTTCACTCTCCTGAAGGGCGGGAGCTGTGTTTTTTTAAATTTGAATTTCCAATGTGTCTGGCACAGCCTATGAGTTCAAGACACGTGAATTCAATGAAATATTAATAAATACACTGACTTAGCTGTGAGAAACGGAAAAAAGAGTCAGCCAGTAATACTGACGGAAACATACTGGGGTATATCCATCTGGTCCCAGACAGAGTCAAGGACAGTTTCTAAGCGGTCTCCCCTCCCATCCACACCTCACTGCTATGGCCAGGTGTATTATTTCTGATTCGTGTGGCATCTGCTGCAAGGCAGAAAATAGAGCCTTGCCTACTTTCACACTTCTAATATAAAAACAGCACTTACGAATCATAAAAAAAAAGAAATAACTCAATGATTAGAGAAATGAAACTAATAATTTATAGAAGAATAAATATTAATGGAAAGTTAACATGATAAAATCTTCTGTCACATACATAACTAAAGAAATATAAATTAAAATAATTTAAAAACATTTCCTCCTCTTAGATGGACAAATATCAAAAAGAATGATGTGCAAAGATGCCAATTATATGGAGAGAGAAAAAGTCCCATACACAAGAGGCAAAAAGTATAAAATGGTAACACCTCCTAGAAGGACAATTTGGCAGATCTATAACTTGGTGCAGCTGTTCCTCTACTGGAAATTTATCCTTCAGAAATACTTGCACAAATACTTATGTAAAGAAGTATTCACTGCAATACTGTTTAGACTAGGGGTTGGCAAACTTTTCTATAAATGTAAATATATTCAGTTTTTTAAGCCATACTATGTCACAGCTACTCAGCTCTGCTGGTGCAGAGTGAAAGCAGCCGTAGGTCATATGCAAATGAAAGGGAGTGGCTGTGCTCCAATAACATTTGATTATCAAAACAGCCAGCCCTCACTTTGACTAATGAAAACTCTAATCCAAATGTGCATCCACAGGCAATCGGTTTGGTACAGTAAAATGCAGCTATTAATGGAATGAGTTAGATCCGTATTTACTGACATGAAAAGACAGCCAAGGGATAGCTTTAGGTTAAAAAAAAAGCAAGAGGTATACAAATACATATATAGAGGGGGAGAGAGAGAATGTGATCCCATTTCTGTTGTTTTCTCATTTCTGCTTTTAAAAACACACAGACATACACCTGAAAGAACATACACCGATTCCTTATCAGTAAGAACTGTTTGAGGGGGATGAAAACTTCGCCTTCCACATTATAGTTTGCTTAAATGTTTGTATTTTTATACAAATAACAGCTATTATTTTTAATTCAGAAAAGTACAAAATTTTTAAATGAAACAGAAAGCAACCAGGAAACTTAAAAGCCTTGAAAAAAGGAAAACAATTTTCATTCTACATGGTATAAGCCATCCCTTTGCTAATGCCCACCTATTTTCCTCATTTGCAACCATAGTGTTCATACCTTTTTGCATTCTGCTTTTTGTACCTTAATATTCTAACAAAGATTTTTTCCATGACTCAAAAGGTGATATACCATAATTTATAAGCCACTGTTACAGTTTCAATTTACTTCCAGTGTAGAGTTATTACAGCTTATTTTACAAAAACCATCTTTGCATATATTCCTGTATATATCTGATTGTGCTGAATACTTTTCCTATGTGGGAGATTAGTGAGTCAAAGATTACAGAAGACCTTATGGTTTCTTACTGAATATTTCTGTATTGCTTTCCTTAGGGCTGTTAGTGATTGACCATGTAACCAGTAGGACACACATACGGTGCAAAGTATGAACATGGCCCTTATTATAAACAGTAGCTACCAAATGTTACACGCATGCTACATGCCAAATTCATTTATTTTCTACTATATGATTTATATGCCGTGTTGCCATATTTAATGTATTAATAATTTCTTACACAGCAACCCTATCAGGTAGATATTACTATGATCCCCAATTTGAAACAAGTGTGGAGTGACTTGTGCATGGTCACAAACCAGTTAAGTGGTGGAACCAGGATTTAAGCCCACCTCTCTTTACAGAAGTCGCATGCCCCCTAACTCCAGTCTGCCCACTTGGCCGTACCCCTCTATTATATATATAGCTGTTTCTTGTAATAGCCCTAGAAGTGTGCTAATATAATCCAAAAGACCATTCAGCAAAATGAATTTCACAATATCCAAAATGCCTAATGGCATTACTTCTACTGTTAATAATAATAATCACAGCTATTTAGTCAGTCCTTATCATATGATAAGTACTGTTTTAAGCACTTCACATTAATTAACTCTTGTAGCTCCCAAAACAACCAAATGAGGTAGTTATTAGTATTATCCCCAATTTACAGGTTAGGAAACCGAGGCACAGAGCCATTAAGCTACTTGCCCAAGGCTACATGGCTCGTTGGTGGATAAGCCAGGTTAGAATGAGTCAAGCCGGCTCTAGAGTCCACAGAGCACCCCATTCGCTACTCTATACTGTCTCTCAGTGAAATTCTCCCTTCTGTTAGAATCTAAAGGCCTTCGAAAGGCACGTTTAAAAAGCAAATGTAATAAGATACTATAAAATAAGTGGGAATCACTAATTCTTATTACTTGGTGTTTTAGAGAAGCAGCTTGTGATTTTATCATGTCTAGTAACACCCTAATATGTGACTGGCCAAGCTCAGTGACAAGTCAGGCTGACACTGGCAGAGCCGGCCCAGGGCAGCGCACCTTTGGGGTCATGCTGTTGGAGATGCAGAAGGCCAGGTGCTGCAGGATGCTCTCCATGCTGTGGTAGTGCTGCTGCCGCGTGGTGCGCAGGTACTTCTGGAGAGCCCTGGCCATGGAGGGGAAAATGGCCTGGGCGGCCTCCCTGGGGTCCATCACCTCCCCGGGGGCTTTCTGCTGCTCCTCGGCCTGGAGACGCTGGATGTGGATAAAGGCCTCTTCCACTGCAACCACCAGCCTGGAAGGCGATGTAACATAGTCATCAGGACAGGGCCAGCCGATTGAGAACAGAGTCATGCAGAACCTGGAAAGACACCTGTCCACCCTGCTGTGGCCCAATCATGCTGCACGCATCCTCGGCTGTCCCCCAGAGGGTTGAGAGGGGAGGGAGAAAGGAAGGCAATGCAAAAATAATATGTGAAATGGGGGCCACAGGGGTGAGGAGGAAGGAGGCCCAGGACTGCGAGATGAACTCTGTTTCCAATTCTGCCACTAATAAGCTTGGGAAACTCACTTCAATCCCTTTTGCATCTCTACAATGAAGGGTTAGATGAGAAGAATTCAAAGGCCTCTCAAACTCTGGCTAAAAAAGGCTCTGCAGGCCAGGCACGGTGGCTCATGCCTATAATCCTAGCACTCTGGGAGGCCAACGCGGGTGGATCGCTCAAGGTCAGGAGTTCAAGACCAGCCTGAGCAAGAGCGAGACCCCGTCTCTACTAAAAAATAGAAAGAAATGATCTGGACAACTAAAAATATATATATAAAAATTAGCCGGGCATGGTGGCGTGTGCCTGTAGTCCCAGCTACTCGGGAGGCTGAGGCAGGAGGATCTCTTGAGCCCAGGAGTTTGAGGTTGCTGTGAGTTAGGCTGACGCCATGGCACTCTAGCCCGGGCAACAGAGCAAGACTCTGTCTCGAAAAAATAAAAAAAAAGCTCTGTACACAGAGGTGCCTGGTGGTGCAGAAGCAGCCTTATAAAGAATCGGAACCGCGTCCCCTTGATCCGGCCACCCACACCAGCAGCCCCTGGGAAAAAGAAGGAAGAAGCACAGCACATGTGATGGAAACCAGTGCTGTCCCCTTCAGTCAACACGACCAGACTGTGAAAACCAGCGAGGCTCTGGGGATGTAGGGCAGGCTCACTCGGAGAGCGACCAGCGGCGTCAGCATCACCCGGGAATTTCTTAGAAATGCCAACTCTTGGGCCCAACCCCAGACCTACTGAACTTCTGCAGGAACTTTTGCAGGGCCTGGAACCTGCGATCTGTGTTTGAATGAGCCCTCCCAGCGATGCCATCCATGCTCACATTTGAGAAATACTGGAGCAAAGTAGACTCCAAAGGCTCAAGCAGGTCATGTTTGTAAACAGAAACCTCATTCTAGCAGAAAACAGTAATGAAGTCTACAAGAGGGTGTCGGTGCCAGGAGGGTGATATACCTTGCTTTCCGCTTCTTTACTCGCCGCTCGTGTTCGGCCTCTTCGTAATACAGCTCATTGTGGCTTGAGTCTCTGCGGCGCGCGGCGGCAGCGATCATTGCCCGGGACTGCCCAGTGGCGTTGTTACTGGGGCCTTTGTGGAAAGGACAGAGGAGGAAGAATAGTTTTAATACTAAGGGGCTGGAAAATTGAGCAGAAAACGAGTAGCACAGTCTGTCAGTACTGTCCACCCACCCCTGTGAAGCATACACAAATCTTGAAGGTAACTTCCCAGGAGGCCAACAATGCCCCCACTCCGCGCTCACTACGTACACCCAAGGCGTGAGAGCAGGGAAGTCTCCCTAAACCCTGATCTGATCAGTGGAAATGGAAAAAGAACTCAGAAGGTGATGAAGAATGCTCGACAATTAAAATGTTGGCCAAAAACAATACACAGAGTGTGCCGGAGATGTCACTTACCATCTGTTATATCAAGTTTTAGTTTGGCCATAAGGGCAGCTGGGATGTCACATTTCAGCAACAAGACAATGAGAAAGAATGAGAGGGACAAGGAGAACATGGACAGACAGAGAACAAAGAAAGTGAAGGGACACAAGACACTGATTACACACTGGAAAACAAGCCATGATGGGATGCCATGGCAGCCACAACATACAGAAAATACCAACGCTTGAGGACACACATAATGGCCCATTTATTAATACAGGCTTACAACTCCTGCCTTGTTCTCTGACCACTGACTATCTTAACTCTTCAGAAAGATGAGGCAGTTTTCAGGCTTTCTTGCAGATAACTTACTTGACTGGTGACTTGGTTTCACTAGTGGGCATCGCTGCTTGCTAAGTTTTCAGATCATAGGTAAAATTGCCACTAAAAATTGATACTCTGTATAAATCACTTGACTTGTTGACAACATGATCCTCTCCCAGGGTTTGCAAACTCTTGCCTTCACCCAGGGTACCCAGCAAGAAATGACACCGTGTCCTGTTTCTTGCACTTAACCATCTGATACCCTGAAACCCAGCTCGGGCTTCCCTAGCCTGGCCGCCAGCCTCCTGACACCCACTCAACTCCACTCCTAGCCAGGATTGAGAAACGCCGGTAAGTATCTCACCAGACACCTGAACCACTGAGATTTCTAGTCTTAATAGATTTAGGCAGCTTGCTGAGTCTTTGGGTAATTTATCCAAATTCTGAAAAGCAGCTTTTTCCTAACAGCTTTCAATATACGGTGCTCCCAGCAGGAGGTGGGAAACACACTGCTATTATTTTCGATCATAAAATCCCAAAATGAATGAGCTTCCCACACATGTAGACTGTAAGACAATATTCTTCTAAAAATGTCTACCTGCATTAAAAAAGGAAAAGAAAAGAAACCGTTCTGAAATGAGAATGCACCATAAAGGGAGGCACAGAGAGGAAGTAGAACCAAACGTACCACGAAGTTTAAACTAAACAGTCACCCACGTGCCCACCACACATACCACAGAGATGGGTTCGAGACACATACCATCTACATTGTAGACTTTCAGCCCGGCCATGTGCTTGGCTGCTCGGAATTTGGAGGCTGTTAGGAGGTTCGGGTTATAAATGGTGAAATCTTTGTAGTAATTTTCCAGAACCACCAACGCGGCTCGCTGAATACTGAGAAAAAAGAGTACAATTAATACAACACGTTTTGATTGAATAAGTAGTTCCTAAGTGAAAATGTTTTGGAGTCAGGTAAAGTAAGAAAACAGCAAAGATAATCTCACACGGCAGTCTCCTGGGTTCCACCACACCTTTTGTCTCCAGGATGAGAATTTAAAGACAAAGCTAAGACCTGTGGCCATGTAGCTTCTGTGCCCTTTTCTGGGCTAAGTCATTAGCCACATCCCACCTAGCCAACAGTTGAAAGAGGTAGAAGTTACAACTCATAACTTACATTTAGGTTTAGCTATACAGAGCATTTTCTATTTTTCCTCAGTTTACAAAAGAAGAAACTGAGGACCCCCAAAAAGGCAAGAGACTCACTGATGATTGCAGAGCTAATGAGTGAAAGAACAAAGAGTAGATTCAGGTTTCTTAGGGCCCAGTTCAGGGTTTTGTCCCTGTGCCTCACTGTCCCTGGGTGTAAGAAATCGCGGGGTTTAGCTTTCAGACAGACCAGAACAATTGCATCCATACATCCATCCACTTAAAAGAAGGCCTCAGCTGAGACCATTTGACCTTTCTTGATGCGTGACGCCCCCAGCCTTGGACTGCTGTCTCTGGCCCTTAGCAGAGGGACACGAAGGGGACTATCCCTGTCCCTGTGCCCTAGGTCTCCAACCTACCACCTGCATGGACCTCAGAGAGAAGCAGGGGAGCAGAGAGGAGGCAATCTCAACAAGCAGGAGCGAGGATGTTGGGGGTGCCCGTGCTCAGAAATTAGTTTGGGTGGCAAAAGAACACGCTCTTGGTGTCATGAAAAGAATCTGTGAAAGAGACTAGAAGAGCAGCTTGCAATGATACATCAAGGGTTTTTATACACCTCATTTATTTGACCGTCACAATCATTCAAGGTAAGAAAACTGAGGCTCAAACATCTATGACCTGCACGACAGCACGCCTTTAATAAAAAGAAGAGCTGAAACTCCCATGAGACTCACAAACTCCCGGCTTGGCCTCTCTCCCCGTAACGTGTGGCTTCCGTGTAACAGTGTACATCTTGACATCTCCAGCTCTCTTTAAGTTGTTCACCAACCACCCGTGTGCTAAATACCACAAATATATTTTTATCTTGCCCTTTAGATCTTTCTTCCCAGTTCTATGCTAAGGAGATTGGCTTACAAGGATTATTTACAACAGCCAGAGCACCAGGACAGGGCTGCCTTTGACGCCTGGATGACCATGCTGCGTTCCAATACTGTCGGAGTGGCTCAGGGATCTGAACTTCACACCAAGACAAGGCAGCCCCTTACCTATCAGCTGGAAATTTTGTCAATGCACCTTGGTAGGTGCCCCTGGGGCTCTGCTTTAACAGTTTAACAGAGTGTAATCGGGAAGTAAGTTGGCTAAGTTCCCTAAGAGCAAAATCCTGGCAAAGCTTTCTTAGTTATATCGCCAACAGTGCCTAGCTCAGTGATCTGCATTCGGTTGGTACTTGATATCATCCTGGATATGTGCAATCATGTGAAGCTGGGGAACACTGTCAGGGGAAATTTGGTGAAACCAAACTTGCATAATGGAAATGTAATATTCCTAAGAGCAAATCCACACCTTGAAAGTGCTAGTCGTTCAATTACTCAGTCACTCACTTGTCATTCTCATATTTAAGTATAATACCTGTGTCTGCCAAGCACGGGGACTAGACAGACGGAGCTTCTCCTTAGCCAGGTGCGTGGACATAAACTGAATGACATGAGTGCGCTCTCGCTCTGGAATACACGGGGGCTGAGTAAGCACAGAGCAGAGCTCCTAACTGCCCGGGACGGGGGAGGGTGCAAGAGTAGCTTTCCTGAGTAGGTGGCCCTTGAGTTGGGGTTTGTGTGTCATTACAGATCTTCATACAGAAGTCCACTCTGCTGGCTCTGACGGCCTTGCATGGTGATCTCCAGCTCAGTGTGGCCCTGACCTCCTCCCTGCCCCTGTTCCTGGCATTCTCCACGGAGGGGCACATGATCCTTCGTCTCCTACTCCATCCAGAGCTCTACCACCCGCTCTCCCTAATAAGACACACACACAAAACACTCCCTTGAGCGCCTACACCACCTGCCCCCTTATGTTGCTTTTCCAGAGTCTCTGGGCTTTGGTGAGACAAGGAGCCCCCCAGCACAGAAATAAGTCTCAGTTTATACAGACGGACACACTGGGGTCCAAAACTATGCCATCCCACACTCCTGTACTGACACAGAAACATCTCTAGCCTCCTGGGTTCCCACAGAAAGTTATTTCCCCGATCAAAATCTAAAACTTAAAAGGCAATTTTCACAGATTCTTTTCAGGCCTGTCTTCAAAGCAAAAGTCCCCTGTGGTTGTTGGGTGTTGCTTTTCTGTTCAGCCAGGCCACAAGGAGGAGCCCAGCGAATCCCACTAACTCAGTCAGGGCCTGTGAGGGACGGCTGGGCCAGAGCTTTATGGCTGCATTTCTCGACGCTCTGCCCCGTGACCACAGACAAACCGTGCGCTGCCTGGAGAAGTAGCTTCTGTCTCCAGCAGGGCTCCGCCATGCCCCCTTCCAGCACGGGGCCTCCACAGATGCTCCCCACATGGACAGGTCCACAGCCCACCTGAACGCCGCTCAGGAAGAGCCCTGGTGTCCCCTGTGACGTGCCTGGGGCGGGGTGGGCACCGTGGGATGGGCCCCATGTATCACAGGTGTGGCTCTCACCATCCTCAAAGGATCAAGAACCTTTGCTCAGAAAAGCCAGATGGGGGAAAGCGCCGGCATCGTTCTCTTCCCCCAGCACCGCCGTCTCAACAGAGGCACCAGGTGACTCAGAACCAGCCAGGGCCCGGCCGGCCTCCCAGGCTGGCAAACCTGCGCCGGAGCTGAAGGGCTCTGGGGACAAAGTTTACGAATGTCTAAGAGTTGTGCAGACCCGCACCGACAGAAAACAGTCTGCCTGATGCTCAGCGTACCTAGCAACGTTAGGGAAAGAGAATTTCCACATAACTAAAAATAACACATAACCGAAGTGCCCAACTTAAAATGGTTCTGATCTTTTGGAATTAAATCCCACATGCCTTTCTTCATCTTTGGGAAGAGAATGAGCTAAGCAATACGTGATTTCAGCTTTGTTAATGACTCAGGACGATGACGACGTGTCAGTCACTGAGCTGTGCCCTGTATATAACACAGGGATGACGTTGGGTCTGATCAGGAGATAGAGGCCATCTGTCCCATGCTGCAGCAAGCCTGAATACTCAGGCTGTTTTGTTTACATTTTTTCTACATTCCCCCTTGTCACCGGCTATCAGTCACTCCCAATTGCTGTGCCAGGGGACTGGCCTAAGTCACAGCCCCACAAGGCCAGGACACAGGGAACACACGTTCCCTGGGCCAGTGCCAGGACTCAGCATTCTTCCTGCCTCTATTCCTCTGCATCCTCCAAATACGGAACCATACAGGGTTAAAGCAGGACTGACTCCTTTCAGGAAGCCTTTTCCAACTCTTCTGACCCCGTGATCTGTCCCTAAGCACACAGCATCAATGGCCACCACACGCGACTTGTGATGTCTTTGAGGGAGAAGACTGGCCAAGCCTAGTCTTGCCCCTTCAAAGTTTATCTACCTAAGTCCCTCATGTATGAGGGACTTTCTCCCAAGGATATAATATTTGTTGGCTTAAATTATTCACTCACGAAAGCCTAGCATTCTCACAGGTCTAGGTTCAGTCCTGAGTATATATTTCATAAAACCATGGAATTTCAGAGGCAAAAAAGGTCTCCGAGATGAACAAAAGCAAACCCTTCAACTAATCCCAATCTCTAGATTAGATAATCTCCGGGAAAGGAGGGAGGCAAGAAAAACGGAGTTGGTGAAAAACTTGCCAGCTCTCTTATCACCATGACGTTCAGTGAGAAAGGGCGGTAACCTGACTAACAGCTCTCATGCAGGAACCCTGTGTTATAGAAGGTATGGCTTGAGGTATAAATTGTGGGCATGGTCCCACCAAAACCAGTGGCACAGAGTTCTCCCAAGACAGAGAACTCCGAGCTCAATTAATGCCACATGTCCATGTAGCCTCCTATGTCACTACCCAGGGAAACGCCCTCTCACAGACCACAAGCCCATAGATCTACGGGAAACAGCACACAGAGATACGCCTGGTCGTGAGAAAAATCACTTGGGACCTATGTAAAAACACAAACACAGGAATACCAGATACACAAATGAAAAGACAACATGGATAATGGAATATCTGGAACCAGAAGAAGCCAATGTTGTTACCAGTGAGAAAGCAACCTCCTCAACTGTGCTTGGTCTAGGCTGGCCCAAATCTGGACTCCTGGTTAGGACGGGGCGGCAATGGCTGAGGGGTTGTGACAGCCACATTTTAACTCAAAACTCACTGCTGACCATGCTGCCTTACTGGCCTATTTTCTTTGCCAGACAAAGAGGGTGGAATGTGAAATGCCGTGGTCTTTGGTGTCTCATCAACCACAAAAGCACTTGCAGTGTCGTTGTCAACTATTAAACGACTGCCATGGCAACGGAGAAGAGGGGCTCACTCTTGTGCTACGTTTCGTAGACCCGGAGAGAAGCACCTTGTTCGTTCAAATATTATTTCATAAAAATCTGAAAGACATATTTTTGACAGATAAATTTTGAAGGAATATTAACCAAATTAACGTCCTATGCACGCTGCACCACGCTCTGGGCCTGCCTGAGTCCACACACAAAGACCTTGGGAGGAAGCACGCACGGCACAGAGGGTGCAGGGTCCAGCCCCAGACAACACGCCTTTTGGCTCTTTCACCTTGAACAAACTATTTACTTCCCCAAACCTCAGACTCTTCATCAGCAGGATGGGAGTAACAACACAGGAAACCTGCTCCAACAGGGTCAGTGGGCTCCAAAGTATTCAGTGGCATAAAATGTATTACTGAAAGGCTACCAAAATGACTGGGGCCGGCCTGTGGTAGGCAGCTTGCCAGAAATTCCAGTTACAGCCTGCGAGA